AACGGAAATTGACAAAACAGCAGAAGACATATCTGCCTCACTAGATAGTTGCGGCAGGTGGATTAAAAATAAGTAATAAAATGCGGTCAATCCAAAGAAGAGATGAGAGAGAGTTTATTATTTTCAATTTTTATCCCTATGAAATCTTAGAAAATGTTAATTGGATTGATATCTGATATCTATTTAAACAGGCAAGGTTTTTAGTTAGTGTTCTATTCTCTATTTTTATTCAAAACTTAAGCTCTCAATTAAATTCAGAAATAACCCAATCCGAATGATGTTATCTTACCATCTCCCTTTAAACACATTTATAATAACTCTTCAATGCATATGCGAATAATCCCAAATGTTTTTATGATTACCTTTCCGGTTGGCTTTAACATGCCACAAATCTGTATTTTACATTTTCAATGGCCTCACAAAGTTTACCATAATTTTCCGCTTCCAAAAATTTTGTAGCCTACTTTCCAGGGCATATGCTCAATGGGCTTTCCTCGTTATCTCCGCGGACCGCTTGTGGGTGTGCCGTAAAACAAATATCGATAAAAAGCAACAGACAGAGCGATACAAATACAAAATTGTGATTTGCATAATGTGGCTCACACACGCACACGAAGACCTGGGCCGGCCCACGTAATATACAATATAATTTACATTAAATTGCTGATCAATATAAATGTATCTATCTGGGCATTAGCTTAATTTGTAGCTGTATTTGTACCAATGCGCGTGTGTGCCTTTAGGATTAAATCGTTTACCTACCGCCCACGCACACACACACACACACATATTGAATATTCCTGCTGACCGCGAGTGAGAAATATTTTTGCATAATTTCTCTTACTGATTTGCTGGGGTTTTTCTGGTTTTTACGCTTTGTGCGCCATAAATTATGCTGAAAAACTGCCAAAGCCAAATAAAAAAGAAATAGAGATGCATATGTACGCATATATTTAGCCAAAAACCAAAGCATAAAGTAATTTGGTTTATGGATTTGCCTCCCCCCTCGGCGCACATTTTTCGGTTGAGGCGTCAAATTCTGTTTGCCGATCAAAACAAAATTATCATTTGACCAGAAATACGTTTTTCCGGCCCCTGCGTATTTGCATTTTGGCTGGTGATTAATGTTTGATGTGCAGTAATTAAATAGACAGAGCAGCATGTTGCATGCAAATTTTTCGGTCAGAGTCCTTTGTTTGCTTGCCGTGCCTCTATTCGGTTTATGTTTATGCAATTTCAATTTCGGGCGTGCAATAAAAGCGATTTGTTTTAATTACTTACGCACATGCCATTTAATTATTTTTATTGATTAAATAAAACAATTAAGCTTATGTAAATTAATGTAGTCGAGTCAACTCCGTCAGTGTGATAGCCCCCCCCCCCCGCTCTTTTGTGGATCGTTGGGGCGTTTGGGCGTTGGGCGTCGAGTGGGGGCGTGGCGTGCGGCTGTGGGCATAGCGAAGTCAAGTTAATGGAATAGCTGAGCAGGGCAGGCAAGTAAAATAATTTAAGGCCAAGCATACAAAATTAATGAGGCCATTAAATCCTGGAGACGCTAAAGAGACACACACACACACACACACTGGTAGGAGTCATGTGTGCGAGAGAGTGTGTGTGTTTGACAGTCAAAGGACAACTCTTTGTTCAGTCTCTGTTTATGACTGTCGGCCTGTGCCGGTGTCTGTGTGGTGTGCGTGTGAGTCCCGTGTTTGGCGTGTGTGTGAGTCATTTATACCCTATGTCAAGCTGAATTTGTAAGCAGGGTATGCATTTTTTCTGTCGCACAATATTTGGAGTCGCGTGACGTCTCCAAACGAATTTAAGCCAATTTATGGGGGGGCCAAAGAATTGCTCATTTTCAAAAAATTATTTGCTCACAAAAAAATGTATATTTAGGAAAAATAATTGATTATTTTTATCAATACAAAAATAAATACATTTTTATCACCTAAATGTAATCCTTACTAGAGCTTAGCGTTCAAAAAATGTTAACAAACGCCATTTTAGAGCTCCAAAATTTAGATTGTTCTACCCGACCTCATGTATTCGAAGAAAAATTTAATTGTTGTTGACTCTCATTCGACCGTCCGCTTAATGATAATTAATTCTCAAAACGTCATATTAAAACTTTTATTATAACATATTCTTTTGTGTTGAAGCTTAAAATACAATCCAATATGTTCTGCTTAAAGTTTAAAGTAAGCTCCAAACATCAAAAATAAATTGGTTGAATTTTCTTTAAATTACCTCTGCGATCCAAAAGACATTACTTACCATGTTACAAAGAAAATTATTAGAACGTACCAACTTAAGTACTACATTTGAATATCTGTAAAAAAGTATATTTATAAATACATATTTTTCAGAACTTAGAGTATTTCCAAGCCGTTCGTTAGATGTCGGCAAGGCGGATTGCCCAAAGTTTCCTCTCGCATGCTTCTTATTTAACTTGCGGCCGCTTTTGGTCCTTCCGCATACACACTGTAGCACGACAAGGAAAGCAAAACGGTACAAAAATATCGCTCAACATTATGCTCGTGCACCTCAAGCAGCTGTCTCTTTGTTGCTGCTGCTCACATCCATCAGCGGTTACCGATTGTCCGTCGCACCGCTCCTCGCTCACCGCCCCCTTCCTTCCCCAAGACCCTCGCATCGGACCCAAGTTGGCCTGGTCTTAGCTCGGCTTGGCTTAGCCTGGCCCGAAGCCCCTCGATTGAATGATGTTTTCTGGGCTCCCCAAAAATAAACTGCCGTTTTCAACAATATTTACGGCCCGTTGTCTGTTAGCTTAGGCATATATGAGTGAGAGCGAGTGTTTTGTATTTGCTGCGTGTGTGTGGTTTACCTTTCTTCTTTTGCCGCTTTTTTTCGCTTATAAATTTCGCATGGCAGTAGGAAGGTAAATAACGCTACGCTACACTCAAATGAAAAAAATCTTAAGTAAATACATATCTTATTGATTTTTATTCAATATTTTAAGGGAGATTTGGATTCTAATTCCTCAAATTTTTATTCAAAATTTTAAGGGAGTTTTGTATTCTAATTCAGCAATTTTATATTAATTTTATTCAGACAACAAATCGATTGGGAGTTATTTTTAAAATCATAAAAAGCATAAAAAAAGGTAACTTAACCAGTTTTTGTATAAGATGTTTTCCACTTTTTTTTCAAAAAAAAAGGAATAGTTTTAAGCAAGAAAAATATATTATATACTTTTAACCTACTAAGTACAGTCTGACAATAAAAATGAACATGCTTAGAGAAAATGGTATCTATTCTTCATTTAATACAAATTATTTCTGATGATAAATATATGTATATCCCAGTAGAATGTAAAAGTCCTCAATAATTTTGACGAGTGTAGGCATATGCTGGCCAAAGTCGTTAAACAGAGAGCGCCCAAAAACGCAGAAATGTATGCAACATAAAAGTGCGACGAGCACCTGACGATGCCACAATGGCGGAGGCTTCATTAGAGATCACCTGGTGGAAAGGGGGTGGTGGAAGTGGAGGTGAAGACGGTGCGGCCCACGTTTTGCATTTTTGGTTATTTGCACAGGCGGCACAACGGCACGTATACGTAATAAAGTTGAACAAATAAAATACACTTTCCTTCGGCGCAGAAAAGTTCTAATTTTTTGCCAACCTCCCGCTCTCCATTCGGCTGTTTGCCTGTGTTTTGTTTGGCTTTTGTTGGGCTTCAGTTGCAACCTAAATTTCATTTGAGGCACAAAACTTGTTTAGTTGGCAAACTTTGCGCGTCGTCAATAAGGCTTGCTGGCTATATCCGCAGATGAGGGGTCGTAGCTTTCGGTGGCGGGCGGTTTAGCCCAGACAGTTTGGCATGGCCGCACGCCATGATATAATCTGGAACTCGCCCGCCGTATAAATTACGCGCTGCCTAACAACTCCCACTGCTGCCACTGCCATTCCACCGCCAGCTCATCGGAGGCGCCTCATCTACAAACAGGCGTTCACTGGGTCGCAGGGTGCATATTGATGGAGTAGAGGTTGCCTAGATTTTCCCAAAAAAGGCCTTTCCAATTTGCCAAGGAAAATGTATCAGTGGATGAAGTTGTTTCCCTACAAGTTCAAGGATCAAGGAATTTGTGGGATTAAAAACCTTTGATATGAATAACGAAGAAATTTGATTAAGATATGGATTTAGGTTAGGTTAAATTGACCACTCATCAATTCCTATTTATTTATCTGAAGTGTATTAAATATTTATATTATTTTAATATATTTTTTTTTATTTATCAAAAACCCGAACTTTATTATAGTTTCAATATGGGTTGTAAATTAAAAACATTATATGGCATTTGCAAATTCAACGTAACAAAACATAAACACTGGTATAAAAAGACTAAGGCTCATGAAACTAATATTTTAAAGTTAAAGTTTTTCCTTAAATACGTTAATTTACTGAAAGTTTCTTAAAAACGTTTCGGTTATTTTATGATATCTTATATATATAGAAATATATATTTGAGGTTGTCCCAAAAGCGCAAAAATACTTTTGAGAAAATCCTTTTAATATTGCCTATTATACCTACTTATTATGGAACCAATCCCGGGCTCGTTGTAATCTCCTGAGGGTATTCCATATTCCCCGTTCACGGACATCATTTTGGCCGCAACCGATTAGCCATATCGATTCAAGCCACACTTTCGGTTTGTCTCTGCATGTGTGAGAGGTGAGGTTAGGGTTGGGGTTGGGGTTGGGGTTGGGGTTTTGGTTGGGGCTTGGGCTGGGGTTGAGGTTGAAATGCATAATTGGCGATTAGACGATTGGCCCTAATATGCCAAAGCGCTGCAACGAATAACAAGAGAAGCGCAGCAGAGCCAGCTTTGGCTTTAGCCCCAGCTTCGGACAGCATTCGAATGGCCAGCTAATTGGGTCATGTCATCCCCAGCTGCCCCACCCCCCAAAAACCCCCCGCGCCCCCGGATCGTACCTACCTTTGGCTGAAATCTTGGGGAAAAAGTAATGACAATGGTTTATGTTTTTCGTTTATATATAGATATATATAATGTTATATATATTTCCTTTTTGCTTTGTTGTTCATTCAGTTGCTTTCATGCATTCAATGCCGCCTTTTGTCTGCGGGCTCTCTACTCCCCTCTTCACCCCCTCGACTTTCTCCCATCTCTCCCTCTCAATTTCCCTTTCCCTCGCTTGTTAGCTATGCCGCTCTGTTGATAAGTGTACACATCTATAGACTATATACTATACGTAGGTTTATATTATACAATACATAATACATAAGTTCAACTTAAATGCTATGGTTTTTTCTTGCTCTTTTTTTCTCGTTTAAGATTACTTTCGGTTGTGTGTGTGTGTGTGTTTTGTATTTGTGTGTGTGTGATTGTGTGTGTGCTTACTGTTTGTCGGGAGTCCTTTGAAGACTCCTGCGCTCATTTAGAGGCAAAGAAAAAAGTCTTTGGTTTACCTTAAAAATATTATTTTGTTTGTTTTTCTTCTGGTTTTTGTTTTTGTTGTCTCCTTAAATTCTAGGTCTTAGCACATACGGGCAATTAATATCTTGTGGATACGCTTTAAATCGTTACAAGGACAAACTGACATAAATCTACATGTACACGTGTACGCCTATGTGTATGTGTGAGTGTGTGTTTGCCTGTGATGTGTTTCGAGTGTGTGTGTGTGCACTTTCAGTACAATTTACATATGCTTATTTACGTATGCATTTGACGAATATTTTCCCTCTGTCTTTACTTTGAATTTCCTTCGATTGGTTTTTTATGTTTGTTTTTCGCCTGCCGACAGGCTTTATTTTGTTTAATTTCCTTTTTCCTTTCAAGATTGCTTTCTTTTAAATTTATTGGGAAATTTAGAAACATTTGATATTGTTTTTTCAAATTTATATAAAATTTTTGGATAGCAGTAAATCAATATTTATTCAGGAATTTTTGGGTAAACTGTCTTAATTTGCTTACGAGAACATTTGTTTATGGTCGAATTGCGTTAAAATTCATTCTCTGAAAATGCACTTCAGGTCTATTTATATAAAGCTTCTGTTGTTAGAAATGGATTAAAAATTAGACTTAAATAAACAGTGAAATAATAAGTAACCTTTATTATTTTACATTAATTGAAGAATATTTTTCTAACAGAGAGCAGTCACCGATTTAAAAAAAAGGTGTTTACAATTTACAAATTTTAAACGTTTTTTTTAATATTTGGGAAATAAGGAAGGGTCACTTTTCTTTTAATAACTCCGCTAAGAGAAATCTGTAAAATGGCTGGAAAGAAAAATTTAAAGGCCAAAAAATAAGTACTTAGCTCAGTAAAATTTTGTATAAAAATATTCTTCAATTAATGGACATTTTTAGTGTAACACGGTGATGTTAAACATAAGACCAATAATAAAACTATAATTGAAAAGAATCATATTTCAAATATTATGTTCTCTCTTTTTTTAAACCGCTGGATAAGCCACGTCTAGTTTGTGAAAAAAAGTTTTAACATTTAGAGATTCTTTGCGATTACTTTTTTCTTGACTTCTGTTTTAGCTTTTAAATGAATTAAAAATGGAATAAACCATTAAAAATATATATCGTTAAATCAAAATTGAGGAAAGACTAACTATAAATGTCTGCTTTAGTTTAACATTATTTCACAGCATCTACGGGAAATAGAATGATTTTAACAATAGTCGGATCCAGAGTTGTTTTTCTTGTCTTTGGGCTATGTAAAATATCCAGTTACAAAGATCTATATATAATTTTTCTGTTTGTTTACCATATACTACATATCTAAATGCATAATTTACAAATGTTGAGCCATAAGTTTGGTTTTTTCTCTGATTTATGATTATAACTCTTGAAGGAAGGATTTGTTGGTTTTAGGTTCCATTTACTTATTTTTGACCGAACAACGAAGAAATTACACACACTCATGCACACACATAGTCACATACATATATTTATATATATATATTTATACATAGATTTAGTTACATTCACATGGTTGCTTTTCCATACACTTGTATGTATGTTTTTGGATTATTTTTAACGTTATGCGGGGAGTTGAGAGTTTGCCATGGTATTTAAAGAAAGTTTGCTGTACATTTCTTAGTTTAGTTTAGTTTACGTTTACGTTTACATTTAGTTTAGTTTAGTTAGTTGAGTTACTTGCCAAGGAGAGTGTACTTTAGTGTAGTGCAGTTGATTTCGTTTTAGCTTTCTCTTTGCTTTGGGCAATTATTATCTTCATTCGCATTATCTTTTTTGTCAGACACTATCACAAACAGTTCGCTTGCACAATAATCGCTGCTCGCCTAGGACCTCGGAGCTATCTATGAGTGTTAACCTAAAAAGAGCTACCTCCCCCCTCCGTCGTTACATCTTATTTGCTGTGTTAAGTTTAGTCAGTTCTTGGTTTGGTTTCCTTTCCTTTCCTTTCCATTCCGTTTCCTTCCTCCGCGGGCTTACACATCCGTGCCGCATCCTTCCTGGTATCCCTCGTCCGGCGAGTTGCGGCTGCTGCTGATCAGGGCCCTTTTCAGGGCCGTAACTGGCGGCAGGACGGGCACGCCTCCCTTCTGCCACACCCGTATCGTCTTGGCGTTGATGGGCTGCCCGTTGGGCAGGATGGAGCAGGAACTGGAGGCGCCGGTGCTCGCCTGGGCGTGGCTGACCGCCGGCGTGGGCGAGGCGCGGGAGCTGCCACTGCCACTGCCACTCCCCTCGTGCAGGCGTGGCAGGGTGCGGCTGCTGAAGTGCGGACTGCTGCCGGTGGAGCTGCCCTCCCTCTTCTGGTGGTTCAGCGTGGAGGTCAGCTGCTGCTGGAGCTGCTGCAGGGGGTGCATCTGCAGCTGGTGGTTGTGCTGGTGCTCCGCCCCCGGCACCAAGGGCAGGCCGTAGTCGTTGGGGTAGCCCGACGAAGAGCCGCCCGACAGATTGGTGGTCACCGTCGAGGCTGTGGAGGTTCCTCCTCCTCCGCCTCCAGAAGTGCCATTGCCACCCATCAGTCCCTGCTGCAGGTGCGACCTTGGGAAGGTCTTGTTGAAGTCCGTGGTCGCCGTTCGCTGATGCAAGTCATAGAGATGAGCGGAGTCTATGATGGGTGTCTTGTCCGTGTAGCGCTTCATGAAGAGGTCATCCGCGGAGGTGGCGCCCACCGGAGCACCGTGCTCCCAGAGTCCCGAGGGGTACAGGGAGTCGCAGCCATTGGCCCGACTGTACTCCCCACTGCCGCCCACTCCAACTCCACTGATGGGCGGGATCTTGAGATCGGCAAACTCGTCGCTTCCGAATCGCTTGGTGTCGTTGATGAGATCCGGGTTGTTGCCCCCGTTTCCGGTGGATCCAGTGGGGGATATGAAACAGGAGGCAGTCGACAGGACACTGCCGTTGTTGTCATAGCCCTGCGTGGAGTACGGCAGATCCGTCAGCCTCGGCGGCTTCTGCACGGGATTCGCACTGCGCTGGTCGTGTCCTGCATGGGACTGCACTCCCCGACCGCTGCTCTTCCGCTCCAGAGTGCCGCCCTGCACCACTCCGCCGTCGATTATGTTGGCCACCGCTCCATTGGCAATGACCACGCCTCCTATGCTGCCATTCCCCGTGGCCGGCTGGGTCTTGTTCGTAATGGAGTTCTGGTGGTTGACCGACGTTATCACCTCCATGTGATTGGGCGTCTTGCTGTCCACATACGGCTGCCGCTTGACCCGCAGCAGCAGGCACATGGCCACCCCGAGGGCGAAGACGATCAGAGCCACCAGGGCGGCACTCAGGCCCACGATCTGGCCACTTCCCAGGGAGGCCATTCCCGCGGCCCTCATGCTCACGTGCAGGGTGAAGTTGGCCTCGGCCATGCCCGCCCGGTTCTCGGCCACGCAGTAGAACTCGCTGGAGTCCGTCTCCTGGGCGTTGGTCAGCACCAGCTTGGATCTCTTCTCGAATCCGCCTTCCACCTGCTCGAACATGTGGATCCTTTGGTAGGCGGTGAAGGCTGAGTTGTTTGCCAGAAGCCGTCCGTTCCAGTACCAATTGATGTTCGCTGCGGGAACCGCTCTCGCCCGGCAAGTGATCGATGCATTCTCCCCCATGGCGGTCTCCACGTAGTGGGAAATGGGCAGCATCTCTGGTCGGCAGGCGAACTCGTCCACATGGAGATCCGCGAAGCTGCGATCGATAATCCTTTCGGGTCCTCCCGAGCAAACAGGCGCGACGGGATAGGGGATATTCCGTTGCATCAGCCAAAGTTTCGTGTCCCTCAACCGGCAGTCGCAGAGCCAGGGATTGTCGTGCAGTTCGATGCCATGTAGCCGACTCAAGGTCTCAATGGTCTTGGGCAGCAGCTCGCTCAACTTATTCCCATTCAGCCGGAGCAGCGTCAGTCCTTGGAGGCCACCGAAGGCCTGAGCCGAGATGGTCTGAATATCGCAGTGCGAGAGATCCAATTTGTGCAGCGAGGGTGTGTTTCCGAAGGCCTGGCTCTCGATTTTGTGTATGTGATTGGAGGCCAGGGTGAGTTCTCGCAGGGAGGAAATGTAGCCCAAGGCCAGGCTGGGCACCGTCACCAGGAGGTTGTGCGAGAGATCCAGCTCCACCAGGTTGGTCAGCCCCTTGAAGGTCTCCCTCTCGATCTCGCCAATCTTGCAGTTCCGCAGATACAGCTTCTGCAGGTTCAGCAGATTGGCCCGTATGAACTGCTCGTTGGACAGGGTCTGCAGCTTGTTCCCGGACATGTCCAGCACCTGGGTGTTGGGATCGATGTGCTCGGGTATCTGGATCAGGTGTCGATCGATGCACTCCACGGTTTGCTTGCCGCCCTTCCACTTGCAGGCGCACACCGTTTGGCAGGTGCTCTGCTGTTGGGCGGGCGGATCCAGGTCGGAGTGGGCGGGTGGAAAGTGCTGACTGGAGGGCATGTAGCCGTCCTCCGTCATCGGCTGGCTATCCGCTATGGAGTAGACTTCGTTCTGGGACGAGGGGGAGGACCTATAGCTCCCGGGGCTCGACGATGAGGGGGAACCACCTGCTCCTCCATTCGCGTACAGGTGCAGCTGATTGTAGCGATTCCCCAGGATTAGTCCAGGCAGCAGGCCGAGGATCAGGAAAGCTACTCCCCTGATATGCATTTTCCTGGCTTTCTGTTCAAGTCTTCTAGTTGAGCGTTCTAGGCTAAAGCCCAGCGTTGGTTTTCCACTAGCAATATCATGGGTGCTTCAGTTATACTGTTTATGATATGATGAGTTAAATAATTTTCACAGAATTTCATGGGTTTGTTCTTGTAACTTTTTTATGCAATTTTGTTTTTATCTTTGAGTTTCTGATTTAATAGTTGATGTGTCTTGTGTTTAATGTTGATATGGAAACTTTCACAGTCCTTTCCGAGCCAATATTTTTGATTTAATACGTGTGCTATAATATTTCTTGTTTTTATGGATTTTTTTTATTATTTTTGTGTAACTCAAGGATATGCCATATGTGTCGTTGGGTTGACCTTTTACTCTTACTTTCGTGCGATTTATCCTTCGTTTTCTGGGTTTTCTTTTAATTATGATATGGAAACTTCCTTATGGGTCAAGCGGAAAATTGATTAATTGCCGCCTTGGCTTCACTTGTTGTTGCTGCGGTTTTCGCCAAGATTTTCATGTTTTGCCGTAATTAGCGTTCGGCCAGACCCAGTGTTATTTATAGGGCTAGCCCCCGCACACACACTCACTCTCACTCACTCACACTCGTTTGGATGATAATCGTTTTTATTTTTCGGCCAACGAAATTCGCATTTCCCCTGCTTTTCTATTATTTATTTTCTACGCAATTTTCTTCAGCTTTTCGGGATTTTTCTTTCTTCACGTGCTGCTTTTTACATATATATATAATTTTTTTTTAGGATGGTTGGTTTGTTTTGTTGCTTCGGTTAGCGCATTTTGCCACGCAAAGCTTTAATTCGCATCGCGTTTTTTCGTCGTTTTCGGTTTCGTTTTCGTTTGCGTTACGAGCGAACCTCGGTCCACGCGAAGGAGTATGACTTGTGATTTCAAATTTCCGATTTTCGAGCGAGGGCAGCGTGATTAGTTGTGATCTAGAAACGGATTGCCCTTGCACACTTGCAATTGTTTTCACTGCACAAAATAACGGTGGATCCTGGCAAGAGGAACTGCCACACACTCGCGCGCACTCTTACACACACAACACAACAGCAGCGGAGAAAGGCAACCGCTCGGCAGCGTTCTTCGACTTAAACTGAACTTCTGGTTTCGAATCAAAGCCTCGCAAACGCTTTGCCACTCGGCTCAGGCCGAAGTCACCTCGGGTGCTCAGCTGCCCTTCGGCTACGCGAGATAGAGAGAGAGACGGAGAGAGAGAGAGAGCGAGGAAAGCAGTCAGAGAACTTTCTCATGTGTGTTGCCTTAACCGATTCGCAACATTCACATGCAACTCGTGGGCAACACAGCACTCAGAAAAAAACTAAGCTTTCGATTTGAAAACCTTTTTGTCGGGGGATTACACAAAAATCTTTTCGCTAGGAAAGTATTTACATATGATGTACATATAAATTTCAACCGAAGCTATTTTCGTGAAACTCCTTAGAAGTATAAGTTTTACTTGTACAAAAAAAAAATTGATTGATCTGAAAATTTGATAGGAAGTTATGATCGGCTTAAGATTAAGTTTTAATACGCTTGCAGATTTTTCAAACAAATTTATGGGCTTCTCACAATAAGAGAAGCGCAAATTACAAATTTGAAAAGTTTCTAGAATCCATATTTAACCATGCGCAAAATATAGGCACATACCCGTATGGTTAGAAGGCTATTGGATATAATCAACCAATTTTTATTAAATCTCAACATGAAAAAATTCAATTTAGACAAAAACCTTAAAAAAAATACAACCGTTTTCGAAATTTGATCTGCGACCACAAATATAATTAAGATTGCGAACAATTCAAATCTATAGCTTTATATTTAGCTTGCAAATGCTATAGAAACACACGGATAGACGGACATGGCTATATAAACTCGCCGAGTTATGCTGATAAATAATATATACATGTACTCTATAAGGTCGGAAATGTCTGCGCTTCAATGCGTTAAAAACTTCCGACCAGTTTTATAATATACTCTGCAAAGGTGTAAAAATTGGGTTGAAATTCTAAAAATGGTAGTTCATGTGTTTTGTTGTGGCTTGGCTTACAAATTTATAGTAAAATAGCATAAAAATAGTTACTTTTACGTTTTATTTTGTTTTTTATAAAATACTTTTGTAAACGTAAAATCATCCATATTTTTTTTATGTTGATGCGTATATTTACGTTGTTACTTCTAAAATATATATTAAAAATGAATGCCTTTGGAATGTTTTCCGTTTTTGCGATTTATATTTGATTTAAGTGCGAACAAGACCGACATTCTTTAATCAAGAATTGCCAAAATCAAGTACAAGCGCACCTAAATGTTTTCTTTTTTTGAATGTGCGGACCAGTTATAAGGATTATATTACACACGCAGCCGTTGTAAAGATTCCAAATTGTCTTTCCGGCGTATAAATAAGGATTTATGTGAAACAAATAAACGACCGTTGGGTTCAAGCGTGGGCGATCGCATGACATCATTAAAATGAATTTAATTGGGCCGAAGTCTATTACATTTCCCTCTTTTGTTTTGCTTCCCAAAGTGAGCTGGCTTATGAACCACTCTGAAATTCCTGGAATTTGGTTGTGATTATAATATTATCATTTAGCTGTTTAGAAAAATTTTGGAATAAGCTTAACTCTTAGAAGAAAACCAAGTTTGAATGGAGCAACAGCAGAATAATAAGGTGAAAACATTGAAGCGAGGACATTAAACCGAAACACAGGCAAATAAAATATGAGTAAGCGAAACAGGTAGAACAGTTGATTTCGGTTAGAAAATAAAAAAAATGTTAAAATCTTGTGTTTACATTTCCTTAACTTTCTCACTAATTAACACTTTTAGCCAAGAAGAGAATACTGTTTACAGCGTTTGAGTATACTTTGCATGTTTCTAAGTAGTTCCTCATTTTGTATTCCCATTCATCAGGGCCCTCACTATTCTCCTCTGTCTTCAGTCAATCAGCGATCAACCTACTCAGGCATGAAACACCAACAGAAAGAAACCCAAAAAAGTGGAGAAAAAATACAGCAGAAATCAGTACACTATCCAAAAAGGAAAATCAAATTGTTTACTTTGTGATATGTGTACAGATTTTTTAATAATTTTTTGTCTTGGTTTAAGTGACCTGTAAATAAATACATAAGGCTAATTTGATGTGCTTGTTTTAAGTATGTTTGGTTTTAATCATTTTTATTTATTAAATATTTATTGTTTGTTAATATTTTAATACTGTTTTCGTGTTTGCAATGCCTTCTATATAAGCAATTTTTGTGTGTTTTATTTTTAATTTTAGTTCTTAAAAAAAAATTCCAACAAATTACAGAACTAATTTGGCTCAGCCTTTTTTCTCAGTGTTTAGCAACAAAAAAAACTGCTTAGCTTGCAGCCGGCAAATACGAATAAGTAGCTGAAAAAAAGAGACTGAGACTTCGCTTCGTTTGGCTTTGCTTTGCCAGTCGAGTGCGGCGTAATTTCAGTCTTGACCGAATGAGTCACATCCGCCAGATACAAGATACTCGAGCTCAACTGAATGAATTCTCGGCTGCATTGGTGTGCAGAAATTTCACAATGTGATGATTTTATAGCCCGTCGACTCGTTCATTCAAGATCGGTTTGCATAGACGAGAGAAAGAGCTCTCATGTTAGTCGATCTGGTGGGGAAAAACTATCTCCGCCTCGTTTAATGATGCCCAGAACGAGAACCACACCGAGAATTTGAATGGGAATGGGAATGGGAGAGCTGCAAAGTAATTAGCCCGAGGGGCCTCAAGTTGAGCTTGAAGTGGATCCAGAAATTGCGTATAAGTTACTTCACCTGCGGACGACTGCGGGCCAGCTACATGATACCTCTCGTGTCTTTCGGCCAGACAGGAAACGCTCTCAGTGTTACCTGCTTGGCTCAAACCCCCCTCACCCCACCCCCCTCGGACCCTATTGCATATGAATGAAACTGCAGCGCAGACTTCGCATCCAGCATCTGCCTTCGTCCAGATTCAGATGGCCTGAGAAGTTTTCGCAGCAAACTTGTTTACTGCCAGGGAAAAAAGAGAAGTTGGCTTGTTGTTTGTCCTCTTTCGGCCGAGAAAAAACGCGATTGCATATGCTTGCTACAATCCAAGATACATTTTCAGAAAAGATACATTTCCATTTTCCCACCCACTCAGTCAGTCACAGATGGAGGCGAACGAAAACAACTGGAAACTCAACATCGTAGACATTGATTAAGGTCAGTTATGATTGTGTATTGTTTTCTCGTATTTTTCCCTGCCTCGTTCGTTTGTCTAAGCTTCAAAAAGTGAAATCTCCTCTTGCGTGTTGGATTTTTCGTTTTTGTTTTTTTTTTCGAATTTTTCGGTGAATTGCTGGGCAGCCATGCATGGGTATCTCTCAGGTACCGAGAACTGAGCAGATTGGGTTGAAAGTTGGAACTTTATTTGCTTGAATTATTAAGTGGAAAAATCTTCTCATGCTTTGACATTTTATGGAAGTCAAACATTTTGTCAAGTTAACTCGAAAAGTGTAATAATTTATGTTGTACTTAAGTTTTGTTGTCATAAATTTTGAGGATGAAACAATTCAGGCATTTAAAACGAGTAACATGCTAACTTTCTTGCAAAGACTGTTTTAAAAACGGCTTAATTCGCATTTTTAATAACACTGACTGGTATTAAAAGTCATGAAAATTTGTTTCTCTAAAATACTTTTTAAGCTACTTAAACGCACAAAAAATCGATGGGTTTCTTATAAATATGTTTGTTCTATTATTTTATGCGGATTAAGGATTTTTTATTTAAATGTTGATTATATATTAAAATATTCCTTGCATGCCAGCAAACAATAACAGTAATTATTTGCTTAATTACTGTACTTATAAATAATGAATAATCTTAAAAGTGTGTAGTTTATGATGAAAGTCATAAACATGCCTTTACAGCTAACTCATAAAAATAAATTTGTATTCACCGCACTCAAATACTGCACTTCCTTTTAGTTTAGCCTCTTTCAGTGGGTTGTGGCCACGCTTGACCGTCTTTGATGATCTTTTGCTTGGGTTGGCGAAAGTAGAACTCGGCCACTATGCAAATATCGTTTGGCCGCAGCGGAAGTGGCCAGGAAAAACGCTGATCGGTTGCATATGATCAACAGTTTTCGACTTATTTTTTGCACCTCTTACAATTTTTTGCTGCATTTCATTGTTGGCTGACTCCCCCGACTTCTGTTGTTCATAAATTTTGTCGACTTTCACGTTTCGCATTTAGCATTTCGCGTATGAGCGTTTTCTGCCTTTGCCTTCAGTACGCAACAATTAGCCGCAGTCAATTGGCCAAAAATGCTGTTTGCTGTTTGCTGCTTGCTAGTCACTATTTGCGTTACGCTTTCTGCACTTGTCTGCCGGGAAAACTTACCGCTAATCTTCGAGCCGAACAACTTCCGCCTTCTCTGTTGCAAACTGTAAAATGTTCAGTGTGGAGTGCGCAATTAAAAATCGCAGCAGCCGCAGAAGAAGATGACTTTGAGTTGTCTGCCTGCCGCTGGAATTCCATTCCGCAGAGAAACCTTTGCGTTCATAATTTGAAAAATCACCTGGCAGTGGGTCTCCGAGTGGGTGGGTATGCTGGTCTCCCGGCGACCTTTGTGCCCGTAATGCTGCGCCTAATTGCCCTTAATTTATTTAACTTCAAGCTGTGCCCATTCCCCACTGCCGCCCCCGATTTCCACGCAGTCAAGGGTTCGCTGCGTGTCCTTTTGGGGTCACTTGGGACGTGGAGACCCGGAGTCCCGTCTTCGGCGACTCGAACAAGTGTCCCTTGGCCCTCTCGTCCGCTGTCCAGTCCCATCGGCGTCATCGCCGGCTACTCCGCTAAAGATATTCGCAATTTGTCATGATCTCAGTGGCGATTAATGCGAAAATCTCTTGAAAAAGTTATAAATTGTTAAATGCGAACATCATTAATAAGTTTGCTTTAGGTGGGCATTACTAATTGGATTTTTATGCTTTCTATTTGGTTAGATTAGTATTTGCTAACAATCTTTACTTATATTGAGGACTGCGATGTTAAAATAAACTACAATTAACTGAAAAAATT